ATAAACGAGGCATTTGTTGCATCCAGTGGGGACATAATTACGGATTATAATGACTTATACTGTCTTTTTACGCATTGCATTGTGCCGCGTAAACATAAAACCATGTCTGCATTTGTGATTGCAGAAATGACAAACAAGCAGCGCTACTCTACACTGCTCAAAACTCGCATTTGAATCTTCAGTGGCAAATTCTTTATATATAAAAAACAGTCTGTCAGTCAGAACAGCCGGCATTGTAGTCTACTCTACCAGGATCAGGAAACCGTCCTCCATAAAATGCGCTGGACACATCTGAATATTTGGGTTGAACTGTTCTGGAACAGTGTTGTAAATACAACTTAACCACTGATTTCTAGTCGTGTCCTCGCGGCAACCACATGTGACGACCCCCGGGCTGGACTCTGCTTCGTCCACGGTGAAAGCCGATCCGGCGATGGCGGCGGCAACAATGGCGGCAGCAACAATACTACAGCGAGAATAAAAGTTACACCTTCTTTCTTTGCGTCAACATTTGGGCGGCGTTATGCAAATCTTCCCACATTGTGACGTAGACATGTGGAGGCGTGTTAGAACGAGTCGTTTTAGGTAGGCGTGGTTGACTCTTAACTTTTATAAAGAATATCTCTTTGGATTTGAGACTTTAGTCTTTGCAACTTTACAGATCTTCTTTGTGCACCAAGAGCTTGTAACACTTTAAAGAGAAAGGTAAAATTGAAATCACATCATATGACCCCTTTAAATATATTAATGGAAGCATTGCTCATTCATACATACATGAATTCATACAACAGCTCTTTAGACTTTGCTTTGTTCTAATATATATATATATTTTATATTGTTTATATGTGTGTGAGCAATGCTTCCATGTCGTTCCTAAGCACAGGATCTACCATTAAGCTATCCAAGTAGTGAAAGAGCTGCTAGAACGTTCCCCCACTGAGCATGATGTGATGGCAGGAGAGTGGATTCATTGTGTCTCTGAGGTGTCGACAGCTGCAGGGGCCCATCAGAGAGCAGAGAGCACAGGGGCCTGGGACAACCGGCTGAGCAGATGTGCTATGCAGAGGCACGTCACATGAGAGAGAGCGCCGGTGAAGGACTGCAGCATCCATACCTGCTGAAGGCACTGCACCAGCGTGCGTGCGCTTTCCATCTTGTCCATCTGCCGTGTCCTGTTCAGGGTCTCTTTGATGATGTCGCCGAAGTCATTGTAGTACTGCAGGGGAGATGTGACAGCAGTGAGCGATACAGGCTCCATGTCTGCCATATGGCTTCACGCCTAGGAATGCAAGCCTGTGGCATACTGAAAGCACGTTACCCATAAGTCTGTCTGGCCCTCAGGATAAGACTCTGGAAGTGTAGCCTATTAGTCATGAGAGGTTTAAGATTTTTTTTGTTGTTGTTTTTTGAACTTCTAATATGGTGACAATTATGCTCAAACATACCAAAATACCATACATATATCATACAATGTATCATACTTCACTTCATGACTTCATTATTAGAAGAATAATCAAGGTCAAAACCATTTTGTGAAGTCAATTATCACAGATAACTGACAGCAATGCAGCATCACGCTTGCATTTTTGTTAAAGAAATTACTTTTTAAAGAATTCTTCTTTAAAAGAACTTCGCTAATATAACACTTTATAAAGAGTTAAGATATTTAGTTGTCCAAATGATCCTGCTGAGAATCATCTCCTCTGATTTTAGGATTTTAGTTTATATATATATATATATATATACACTTACCATTCATAACTTTGGAGTGGGTAAGATTATTAAATGTTTGTAAAAGAAGTCTCTTATACTCGCTCACCAATGCTGCATTTATTTTGATCAAAAATACAGTAAAAACACTAATATTGTACAATATTATTAAAATTTAAAACAATTTTTATATTTTTATATATTTTACTATGTAATTTTTTTCCTGTGATACAAAAGCAGAATTTTGCAAAGCTGAAATTTCAAATTTTTCATGATTCTTTGATGAAAGGTCTACAGAACAGTATTTATTTAAAATATATTTTTGTAACATTATAAACGTCTATACTGTCACTTCTAATTAATGTGTTTTTTTATAACACATTAATTAGAAAAAAACATTTAACCCCCCCCCCCAAAAAAACATTTAATCACCCCAACCTTTTGAACAGTAGTGTATGACAAGACAATGTTTACACAGTTTCCATGTTTTGGCTTCTGGAACATATTTACCTTGCATTATTGATTAAATATTTAAACATTAAAATCAAATCATACTAAAGTATCAGTAAATGTATGTTTTAAATATGTTTTTATACTGTCAATTACTATTTAATTTTTTTTGTGAAGAAAGTATGCAGTTTGTACATGTAAACGGTGCTTTAATGATAGTTAAATATTATACTTAATGATAAAGCTTGAGCTGCATATTTTACCCTGGACCACAAAACCAGTCTTAAGTCGCTGGGTTTGTAGCAATAGCCAAAAATACATTGTATGGGTCAAAATTATAGATTTTCCTTTTATGACAAAAATCATGTAAAGATCATGTTCCATGAAGATATTTTTTACATTTCCTACCGTAAATATATAAAAACGTCATTTTTGATTAGTAATATGCATTGCTAAGAACTTCATTTGGATAACTTTAAAGGCGATTTTCTCAAGATTTAGATTTTTTTGCACCCTCAGATTCCAGATTTTCAAATAGTTGTATCTCTGCCTAATATTGTCCTATCCTAACAAACCATACATCAATGGAAAGCTTATTTATTCAGCTTTTAGATGTATACATCTCAATTTTGAAAAATTGACATTTAAGGTTTTGTGGTCCAGGGTCACATACAGTGGGTACGGAAAGTATTCAGACCCCCTTAAATTTTTCACTCTTTGTTATATTGCAGCCATTTGCTAAAATCATTTAAGTTATTTTTTTTTCCTCATTAATGTACACACAGCACCCCATATTGACAGAAAAACACAGAATTGTTGACATTTTTGCAGATTTATTAAAAAAGAAAAACTGAAATATCACATGGTCCTAAGTATTCAGACCCTTTGCTCAGTATTTAGTAGAAGCACCCTTTTGATCGAATACAGCCATGAGTCTTTTTGGGAAAGAGGCAACAAGTTTTTCACACCTGGATTTGGGAATCCTCTGCCATTCCTCCTTGCAGAGCCTCTCCAGTTCTGTCAGGTTGGATAGTAAACGTTGGTGGACAGCCATTTTTAGGTCTCTCCAGAGATGCTCAATTGGGTTTAAGTCAGGGCTCTGGCTGGGCCATTCAAGAACAGTCACAGAGTTGTTGTGAAGCCACTCCTTCGTTATTTTAGCTGTGTGCTTAGGGTCATTGTCTTGTTGGAAGGTAAACCTTTGGCCCAGTCTGAGGTCCTGAGCACTCTGGAGAAGGTTTTCGTCCAGGATATCCCTGTGCTTGGCCGCATTCATCTTTCCCTTGATTGCAACCAGTCGTCCTGTCCCTGCAGCTGAAAAACACCCCCACAGCATGATGCTGCCACCACCATGCTTCACTGTTGGGACTGTATTGGACAGGTGATGAGCAGTGCCTGGTTTTCTCCATACATACCGCTTAGAATTAAGGCCAAAAAGTTCTCATCAGACCAGAGAATCTTATTTCTCACTATCTTGGAGTCCTTCAGGTGTTTTTTCATGTGTCTTGCACTGAGGAGAGGCTTCCGTCGGGCCACTCTGCCATAGAGCCCCGACTGGTGGAGGGCTGCAGTGGTGGTTGACTTTCTACAACTTTCTCCCATCTCCCGACTGCATCTCTGGAGCTGAGCCACAGTGATCTTTGGGTTCTTCTTTACCTCTCTCACCAAGGCTCTTGTCCCCTGATAGCTCAGTTTGGCCGGACGGCCAGCTCTAGGAAGGGTTCTGGTCGTCCCAAACGTCTTCCATTTAAGGAATGGAGGCCACTGTGCTCTTGGGAACCTTAAGTGCAGCAGAATTTTTTTTGTAACCTTGGCCAGATCTGTGCTTTGCCACAATTCTGTCTCTGAGCTCTTCAGGCAGTTCCTTTGACCTCATGATTCTCATTTGCTCTGACATGCACTGTGAGCTGTAAGGTCTTATATAGACAGGTGTGTGGCTTTCCTAATCAAGTCCAATCAGTATAATCAAACACAGCTGGACTCAAATGAAGGTGTAGAACCATCTCAAGGATGATCAGAAGAAATGGACAGCACCTGAGTTAAATATATGAGTGTCACAGCAAAGGGTCTGAATACTTAGGACCATGTGATATTTCAGTTTTTCTTTTTTAATAAATCTGCAAAAATGTCAACAATTCTGTGTTTTTCTGTCAATATGGGGTGCTGTGTGTACATTAATGAGGAAAAAAAATTAACTTAAATGATTTTAGCAAATGGCTGCAATATAACAAAGAGTGAAAATTTTAAAGGGGTCTGAATACTTTCCGTACCCACTGTATATGTGCCGGCTCTGATGGTGGGGGTTTCTCTCAGAAAGTAAGATTTCCGACATATCTCTGTTGCTGAAAACTCAGCTGGTTCACACAAATCCACTCTCACACTGAGTGGCTTTGAGACTTCTGCCAGTTAATGCAGTATGCTGTTTATTAAACCCAAACACTGTAGAGGTGAGGGTCTGCATTAACCACCCTCAGCCACTGACCCACCTATTGCCAAACAACAACCTTCATTTATTACCATCTATTTGCTTTAATACGTATTCTAATACATACTCGCTCTAAGCGGTCAAGAAATGTGCCACTGTCGTACAGAGAAGTGACCACTTGTTACCGGGAGGAAGCTGTTCAAATGAAGGGTCTGCGGCGCTTGCCAACTTTACATCATTTGCCTCAACTTTGAAAGCTGTCGTTCAAAATGATGGCATTCAGAGTGAGCGTGTGTGTGTGTGTGTGTAGTTTTCCCTTCGAAGGCCTCATCAGAGAATGTTGTGCTGGCCGAGCTAAGCGTCCATTCCAAACATGTCAAGCATGTCAAACACACACACAAATACACAAACACACGCACTGTAAATCCCACCTATCGTAAATTCAAAGCTTAAGAGCTCCAGTTATGAAAAGAGGAGCCAAATGAACAGACCACCTCTATCTAATACTATTACTAATATTAAACAGTATGCTAAATAGATTTTTTAATTACATTTTTTTAACACTACTTATAAATGTAATACTGTTTCATATACGTGTATATGTATTTTTTAACTAGAATATTAGAAGTTTGAAAAAAAGTAATATTTGCTGTGAACGCTGCTATTTCCTGTTGAATGCATGTTGTGGTGCTATTCCACCAAACTATCTGTAGAACTTATATTGAGAAACAAACCACGGATTAAGTATAAAATGAAAACCTGAGTGAAGTGTCATACCTTCACGTACTGCTTGAAAACCTCAGCAGCCATGCTCATCTCCAGCACACTGTGCACTATCAGCTTGCAGTACGCCGCCAGAAGATTTCTCCGCCGGTGCAAGTCTTCCAGCCGTCCGTCTCCACACTCACTCTCACTGACTGCGCAGACAGACACACAGAGAGAGAGACAGGTTGAAACAGAGGGGTTGAGATTCAATAAGAGAGCCGTATAATTATGATACTCAAATCTTATAAATGAAATGCTTTCCTGAGGTGAGCTAAAGTTAACAACATTTTCTGCTCTGGAAACAGAATGTGTCTGTCGCCGTCCTGCCTGGTCCTGAAGCCATCACTTAATAGAGAGGTTTCATAACAGCATTAGTGACGTGAAGAAAATCCAATAACTAAATTGCTTTTTATTACATGTTACCAGCAAATGCTTATATTGCATTTTTCAAGAGGTAAGGAATTTGTGTCAGCACGAATCGACGACTCTGAAATATTTATAGAATTGATACGATTTGCTTCAGTCACACTTGATTTCGAATCAAATACCCCAAAATCTGATGTTATCTCATAGGCTGCTTGTGTTTGTCTTAAAGCAACACAAGGCCAAAAACAACACAAAAAAAACTAGTTTAGTAAAGCTAATATTGATTTTTCAGCATATGTAGTCATTTTAGATATATGCCTACCAAAGCTTCTTGGCTTTTGTGTGGGCTTCTAAATATAATTCCACAGGGCTCTGTGTTGATCTAAGTACCTGTTCATTTACAAGTGCAACTTCTGTACAATCTCACCTAATAACATCATAAGGGATTATTATCATAATGCATTATCTGTTAGACTTTCACTCCTTGATTCAATGGCATGTTTGATAGGTCAGTGAGAAGGTGGGGGTGCAATTAGATTAACTAACCCCAAACAAATACTGTGTTCTGCTACAGTGCTTTTCAATAATAGAAGGAGAATGAGGCTGATTGTGTTTGTTTATGTGATTATTTTGTGCCTAACATAGGCAGGGGTAGAGGCAGACTGCCATCTGCTGGTGAAATTGAGACTATTCTTATCCATCAAGACACCTTAGTATTGTATATATAATACAAAGGTGTTAAATGTATTGTGTGTGTGTGTGTGTGGTTGGAAAGATTTAGTTTTTTTTTTAAGTGTCTTATGTATTTGCATGTATGTGATCAAAAATGCAGTTTAAAAAATACTGCACAAGTAAATTAAATATTATATTATTATTTGTGAAATAACTATTATATTTTTGAATATATTTAAAAATGTCATGCATTCCGGAATTTTCATCAGCCATTACTTCAGTCTTCAGTGTTGCATGATCCTTGAGAAATTATTTTAATATGCTGATTTGGTCCTCAAAAAATCATTTCTCAATGTTATTAACATTATATGTGTATATACACACTCATATATAGACAGATTTAGCTTCTTTTTTTTAATTTAAAAAAACTATTTACCTCTATAAGATAGGAATTATGTAGCTGTTTTTCCTTGCATATTTCTGACAAACAGCACATGTCACTGTGTCACTCACAGCATCACATATAGAATGAGACAACCTCTGTCTCTCAGGGAAACTGCGTCTGTCACAAAAGCATCAAGAGCCGTTGTGATTTTGTTCCTCATGCTTTCGTCTCTGTGGTTTAATTGGGCCCAGGGGAGGGGGAGCCCACACCCACACATAAAAAGTTTGTCCCAGGCCCTGTGAATTTTAGTGGCAGAAATTTATGATACCCTTAGGTATTCCAGATAATCTCGTAATAGTACATTTTCCACGAAAAAAAATTGCATCAGATGTTTTTTTTAGTAGATAGTTTGATTTGAACTGCACGCAGACAGACACACAGAGAGAGAGACAGGTTGAAACAGAGGGGTTGAGATTCAATAAGAGAGCCGTATAATTATGATACTCAAATCTTATAAATGAAATGCTTTCCTGAGGTGAGCTAAAGTTAACAACATTTTCTGCTCTGGAAACAGAATGTGTCTGTCGCCGTCCTGCCTGGTCCTGAAGCCATCACTTAATAGAGAGGTTTCATAACAGCATTAGTGACGTGAAGAAAATCCAATAACTAAATTGCTTTTTATTACATGTTACCAGCAAATGCTTATATTGCATTTTTCAAGAGGTAAGGAATTTGTGTCAGCACGAATCGACGACTCTGAAATATTTATAGAATTGATACGATTTGCTTCAGTCACACTTGATTTCGAATCAAATACCCCAAAATCTGATGTTATCTCATAGGCTGCTTGTGTTTGTCTTAAAACAACACAAGGCCAAAAACAACACAAAAAAACTAGTTTAGTAAAGCTAATATTGATTTTTCAGCATATGTAGTCATTTTAGATATATGCCTACCAAAGCTTCTTGGCTTTTGTGTGGGCTTCTAAATATAATTCCACAGGGCTCTGTGTTGATCTAAGTACCTGTTCATTTACAAGTGCAACTTCTGTACGATCTCACCTAATAACATCATAAGGGATTATTATCATAATGCATTATCTGTTAGACTTTCACTCCTTGATTCAATGGCATGTTTGATAGGTCAGTGAGAAGGTGGGGGTGCAATTAGATTAACTAACCCCAAACAAATACTGTGTTCTGCTACAGTGCTTTTCAATAATAGAAGGAGAATGAGGCTGATTGTGTTTGTTTATGTGATTATTTTGTGCCTAACATAGGCAGGTGTAGAGGCAGACTGCCATCTGCTGGTGAAATTGAGACTATTCTTATCCATCAAGACACCTTAGTATTGTATATATAATACAAAGGTGTTAAATGTATTGTGTGTGTGTGTGTGTGGTTGGAAAGATTTAGTTTTTTTTTAAAGTGTCTTATGTATTTGCATGTATGTGATCAAAAATGCAGTTTAAAAAATACTGCACAAGTAAATTAAATATTATATTATTATTTGTGAAATAACTATTATATTTTTGAATATATTTAAAAATGTCATGCATTCCGGAATTTTCATCAGCCATTACTTCAGTCTTCAGTGTTGCATGATCCTTGAGAAATTATTTTAATATGCTGATTTGGTCCTCAAAAAATCATTTCTCAATGTTATTAACATTATATGTGTATATACACACTCATATATAGACAGATTTAGCTTCTTTTTTTTAATTTAAAAAAACTATTTACCTCTATAAGATAGGAATTATGTAGCTGTTTTTCCTTGCATATTTCTGACAAACAGCACATGTCACTGTGTCACTCACAGCATCACATATAGAATGAGACAACCTCTGTCTCTCAGGGAAACTGCGTCTGTCACAAAAGCATCAAGAGCCGTTGTGATTTTGTTCCTCATGCTTTCGTCTCTGTGGTTTAATTGGGCCCAGGGGAGGGGGAGCCCACACCCACACATAAAAAGTTTGTCCCAGGCCCTGTGAATTTTAGTGGCAGAATTTTATGATACCCTTAGGTATTCCAGATAATCTCGTAATAGTACATTTTCCACGAAAAAAAATTGCATCAGATGTTTTCTTTAGTAGATAGTTTGATTTGAACTGCAAACTGCTCATCAAGTTATCAGTCAACTGGGAAGCACTTCATCAATTTCACCATTTCATTAATTCACCACAGCTTTTTATCCTCATTTTGGGCCCTCCCTTAAAAGCATCCTATGTGCACATCCAATGTTAATTGCATCATTGAGTTTCAACAACATGAAAGTTCTTTTGTTTTATGCACTTTTCAAAGACACCTCAGTTAAATCTCAAGAACATACAAAAACAAATTGATCTAAAGGGCAACAACTCTAAACACTTAGCTAACACTGGATCTGTTGAGGCCGCCCACATGGCAGCCCACAGGCCAAACATGAACCCTTAAGATTTTCTGAAATGAAAAGAGAAAAACACCTTTACTACTGTGGGTGTCCTGTTCAGGGCTGGTGAAGACATGCTCCACGACGAAGGAAAGAAGAGCTTTCTGGAGTTTGGGATCAGGGGTGTACAGCACTGGAGTGCCTGCAGACGAATCCCACATCTGAAGCTGGTAATTATGAGCTATGAGAACATCACTCAGACATATGAAGGCCTTTGTGAAAAACAACATAAAACAGACAGTGCCTGATCAACAGATGATATAAAGTAGACAATATAACACTAAATTCTTATCTAAAATCTACTAACCTAATCAATCTAATTATATCTTTCTCCAAAAGAGTGTATCAATGTACTAAATTATTTTGTGTTTCCATTACATTACAAATATAAAATATGTGAAGTGTAATTAATTATATAAATAAAACTGAAATAAACAATTAATCGAAAACTCATGGCTGAAGGTGCTAAAAAAAGAAAAAGATGCAATGCAACAGCTGAAGCTCTTTTTTTGTTTTTTTTTACTTAGTGCTTTAATCGTCTGTTACAATTAATTTGATTGATTCGTTGACATAATTCAATGATGTAATTAACTTTATTAAAATTGCAGCCCTCAAAATATATCAAATCAATTCACTGAGAACATGGACAATTCAAAGCGGTCTTGAAATAAACAAAGATTGTCCGGAACTTCCATTTGTTTTAGTTTCAATTAGTGTGTTTTTCTGCTGTCAGCGTGCCTTGGCATGGAGTGAGGATTCATTAAAACACAACGCAGGTGCCAAGGGCACTCCACGAGAAATTCAAGTCAAACCAAACAGGATTCAAACAATGCCAGCGCATCGGCCCACTGGCACACATGCTACAGCTTAACGCACAGACAATACGCTCTGATGTGCTTGGAATAATCCACTTTGAAGAAAGGGCTGAATCAAGTGGTATGCTGTGAACAGAGAGAGAAACGTGATGCTCACTTGCTCTCGTACAAGCTGCTCAGCGTGCGAGAGACAGCGGTAACATTTCTCACAGAAGGCACGTAGCTGGCTTCTCTGCTGGAGGGCGGATTCCTAAAACCACACACAAACAGACACATCCATAACGATGACAATTATTTTCCTATGCAGCTTTGGATTTATACTACATTTGTAGTTGTACTGAGCATTTTGCTCAATTTATTTAATTATTACGTATGCATATGACCATACTGACTGAGAAAGTACACAGAGCTTTGACACTTTGGGGAAAAGTCATATGAGGAATAGAAAGAGTATAACAGCAAAATAACAGCAACAGAAAGATGACTGCAGCAGGGCTCTAACTGATGTAGACTGATGAAAGCGTCATTGTGAGAAGTGCCGCCGGTCTCTTGTGTAAAATATTCTTTCATAATTACATGCATGTGAAGCTCTGGGGTGGACGTGCCAGATCGGTTCCTCCATCCCACGTAGTCGCAATGTCAATTCAGCTAAATGACTCTTTTGAATCGGACATACATCCCAATTTTATGCTGAACACGTCTTTTTTCCCCCCTCACCTCGGGTCGCCATTCACATTAGAATTGCAGATTGAGCCGAGCTGCTGCCTGGGCCAAAAATTGCCGCCTGCGCTGTCAGTTATTGATGACGAGGCCAGAGGAGAAAGCGGCCATTTCTGAGCCAGCACTGAGCGAATCTTACCTACAGCAGTCTTAATGGCCACCAATATTTCACCGCATAAAGGTTAGAGGTGGGGAGATATGATTACCCCGTGCACTGCATGGAAACACAGGCCTAATAAGAAGCCCAGCTATTAGCGGTGAACCGTCCACACGAGAGCGCAACCATTAAGCCCCCTACAATCCATCACCAGCACTGACTTTTCCTGAAGATTCACGATCAATCGCTTTCTATCACTTATTAAAATCCGCTGGACATAACCCTAGAGTCTCTGTGTTGATATTTGAAATGCAATGTGGCAGGTTTAAAGGACACAGCTCTTTGTGATGGATCATATGGCACCTCTGTAGACAGAGAGTCTTGCATGCCTAAAAACGTTTAATTAATCACCCAAGGGAAAACTCTGGCCTTACGTCTGTGCTTGTAGATATTACCATTCTAAGCATGATCTCAGCCATTTATGACAGCAGTCGCAATCAGAGTGGAAGAGAAAGGTAGATGGCTCACCCTGGAGGTCACACCTTCTCCAAAGGTGTTGAGCTTCCAAAGGACGCAGTTACACATGAAGCGCAGAGCCTCAACTGTCACCTACAAGAAATACAGATTAGAGAGGCAAACCCTGTTGAAGGGAAAAAAAAAAAAAAAAGAGTAGAGGGTACGGTGCAAGGCTAAAAATGCTACCTCCATGGGAAGACCACCATGTTTTATCTCTACGTCCAGGAGTCTGGTCCCCAGCTCATACAGGCTCCATTTAGACAGATCCTGAGCACTAAACAGATAATAATACACTTGAATGGCATCAGACAAAATGACACAGAATGACACATTAAGACATAAACCGTTTTTTTTTTTTTTGTGTACAGATGCTAACTGAACAAGTAGTTGTTAATGGTGTAATTAAAAGCATCTGTATCACTATCTTGGTAACATTTCCAGAATGTTCATATAACCAAAGAAAAATTTTCTTGAAAAATAATTACTTTTTGAATGTTTGTAGAACTTTCAGAAATAATATTTTCACAACCTAATGCGAAAGCTATGAAAACATTCTTAAAACATAGCTTTGTCAGCAGGGATGTAAAACACAGATTGATAATTAAATTGGTCAAAGAAATGTGCTTATCGCAAATACTGCAGAGTGTATGTGGATAGAATAAACTAGAAACTGCTTACATATTGAAAGCATTAAGTTTCTTCAGTGTGGACAGAATTTCCAAAGTGCTGTCCTCGTTTGCAGTGAAACAACCATCCTGTACATGAAAGGAAGAACCTTTAATTAGAGTCCATTCTGCTGTGTAAAAGATACAGTCATAAATCTGTCATGAATCAACTTATTCTTTATTGATGTCAAGATCCATTTAAAATGCATGTATGTATCTGGTACAAGCTTGTAAAAGAACATCTAGAGTTTTTAGTGATCCATTACTGTACTCACACTCAGTGATTCTCCTAACCGTGTTTCCAGTGTGTCTGTCCAGTGCTTGATGAACCGGTCAAAGCTGGGCCGGGCCAGAGAGTGCCAGGGCAAATCCTGAGCACAGAGGCTCTGGTAAGAACGAGCAGCCGCCTCCAGCAGTCCAGCATGTGTGTGTCTGTCCACCGCAGCCTCCAGCTCAGCCAGCAATGCCTGAGCACACTACACCAAAACACAAATATAGGCTATGTAAAAACCAGACACGGATTGCTCTAGAAAACTCTACCAAATAATACATAGACTACCGTTCAGAAGTTTGAGGTCATTTTTTTAAAGTAATTAATACTTTTATTTAGCAAGGATACATTAAATTGATCAAAAGCGACGGTAAAGACATAATGTTACAAAATATTTCTATTGCAAATTCTATTGTTCTATTGAAATTTCTATTCATCAAAGAATCCTGAAAAATGTGTGATTTTTCTTGAGCACCAAATCATACACATATACATAAAAATCACAGTGAAGTCATTAGTGCATCAGATGACTCACAAACACTCACCAGTGAGTTTTCATGATCACAGGTGTCTGTTTGGAAATACTGAGGTATTTTTAGAAGGGAGGTGAGTTTTTCAGCATCCTCTGAGTACTAGAGGATGAGATTAGACATCAAGTTCATTTATGAAGAAGCAGTTATGGTAAAAATGAACAGTGCAGTGTTTTTTCTTTTACCTTGGATAACAGCTCAGGCAGCACTTTAATGAACTGTTCAGTGAGTTTTGTGCAGTCATCAATTTGTAACTTTTTCTCTTTAGAATTTACCACCTAAATAAACATAGATATGTAACTAGCAACAAGTAACAGTTCCACAATGTGCTGGATGTGTCTGTAAGAAAGTGAACAGCTGGAGTATAAACATAAAAAAGTGAAATATATCTGACAGCCCTGTTAGATCAGAGCACCATCTAATGAAAAATGCAACAGGAAGTCTTACCTTTTTACCTGCTCCTCTCCCTGACAAAGGAGGGCCCTCTGCAGCCTGCCTCACTGATGCCAATATGAGCTCAATCACAAAGGCCTCCTCAGCTATGCTCAGAGCTGTAGTTAAAGCATGTTGCACAGCACAAATAAGATGTCAGTTTGCTCTCTCACAGTGGAGTTTCAAATAGAGGAGATAATGCTGGATAGAAATCAGTCCTTTTTATTTCTATTTTTAGTAATCATTAAAACATTAGTCAAAACTACAGACGTTATTTGAATATTCAACTTATTATATACACTTGTAAATATTTGTTAAAAGATGGAAATCTCTGCTTCGGTGTAATAAAAGCTACTGATAATGCAGCATTACAATAAAGAAGCATACTGGAGTGTATACTGTAGTGTGTACTAAAGTACTAGCCTTGTTCCTGACAGGACGTGTGAGGTAAGAGCAGTGAGGTAAGACCGGTCCAATCCTTCAGCAGAGCCCCTGCACTGTCCCACAGACTATCCACGAGGTACAGCACATGCTGATGCAGCTATGACAGAAAAATATATTTTATTTTATTTTATTTTTTACAGTTGTATTTAAAATTTAAATGCAGGTTTGCCTGCACAACCACCAGATCTTAGAGCACATGTACTTATAATCTTATTTTTAAGCATGGCACACTTTGAGTTAACGTACCTCATTCTCGGTCTGGAAATGGATCAGGGCTCGGACTCTAGCTAAGACTAACTCTCTGTGCCTCTCCTGATCAGAGGCTCCATCTCTGGGCTTTGATAATTCATGGTTACTGAGCAGCCTAAGAGCAGAGAAATGACACAATTACAGCAAATCAATTAAAGTAAGCAAATTACTTACAGCTATCATGTACATATATGTACATGTGTCACACAAAAGGGGTAGGTTTTGTAGAATGACAATGAACACAGACCTGTTATAGAGGAATTCACCCGCAGTGGTAGCTAGAGGTCTGTGGGAGCAGTACACAAATTGGAAGACATTCTTGTGGTCATCAGGACTCAGAAAATCCTCACAGGATCTGACATAAAAAGGGAACAATTTCAACAATTACATGAGGAACAGCCCAGCATACGCTTCACAGAGGAGAAGTCAAAGTATAGATGATCAAACTCTATGAGAAATAGTCCGCATGAGGAGCAAGGGGAGATACTTACTGAGAGATGACCATGAGCAATCTCATGGCCTGTATGGCCACTTCATGGTCTTTATCCAGAGTCATGGAGATCATCCTCTCCTATTACAGAAACAGCATTCAATCGCTCATGTAAACACTTTAAGTACCCGCTATGAGAGCAATCGTATCTCGAAAACCTACAATAGGACTTGAGTTAAAGACCCACGGCACACTTAAACAGCTCTTTAAATCATGGTTGTGCTAATGTGCTCGCTGCCGTTAGTGAGGGTACGGTGAGGGTGGGGTCCTGTGGGAAGCTATCAGGCCAGTGAGCCCAAGGCAAAACCTGAGGGGCTTTCCAGACTGTCAATCAGCAATCATGCCCTCCTGCTGTCCCACTGCAGCTTTACTGGACCTTAACTTAAAAACTGACAAAGAAGTTTACGGACCGTGTCCATTTGAGAAGTTTGGGCACAACAGCAAGACCGTAAGGACAAACTTACAGCCAGTAAACAACTCTCCATAAAGAAGTTTATTTTTCTACAGCAGTTACTCTCAGGTACATTTTGAGCTTAAAACTTCACTATGTCCTAACTGGGTATGTGATAGACATAGTAGTCATGAAAATTTGAAATTTTATTCTAATCACCTGTGATGGCAACAAGTGGAACTTTTGTAAGGTGCTTGGTTTCTGTAGCATCATGTTAAGTAGCTTCATCCATTTTTAAGTATCTTTGAGCCATTCAGCTGTGATGCACACAACTGTATATCCCACATCAAATATGTTCTGATTGGATGTGAATGTGGCATGGTTTACAGCATTTTTGTGTAGAGTTCACAGACAAATTTTGCAGAAACGTGTCGTGTTGTGCCTGACTAGGAACATGACGAGTATCCCAGTTCATGCAGCCATTTTGAGGTATAAATAGTGTGTTCACAATGAAAATTACAACAAGACACAAGTGCACTTCAAATACATAGATGATGCACTTAATTGCCTGAAAAAATGGAAGTGTGGAAAACTTTGTGCAGTCAGCATTCGCAGCTTTCCTAACGTAGTGGAAGGGGAGAGGCAAAAATAACCTTCTAAAATTCATACACTACACAATAACATAGTACATAGTGTATAGTGTGTCATTTGGGACACACCTATAGTGTGAGAATGTGGAAGCAATCATTACCTTAAACCGTATCGTGAAAAGGTCCATTTTGGAACTACTTTGATCCTGATAAAGTGCCTGTAGTCCCAGCACACATTTCAGACGCACATCAGGTTGCTGTAGAAGATTATTTAAAAAAATAAAACAGGCAGTCAAATATCAACTCAACAACAGCTGACATGGGTAAACGTCTAAACATTTCAAAATAAATTGTTCTTTAAACACACGGCTACTGGCTCACCCACCTTGTCATGCATCATCCACCCCACGTACTTCAGATAGCTGTCATTCAGAAACACTGAACTATACAGCTTCATCCACACTGTCAGTTCCTCCATGCAGATGGCCCTGATTTCAGGAATCACGTCTCTGGAAGTCACAATGCAGTTATAATGGTACATAGTTTTTATTTTATTTTATTTTCAAGGAAGTGAAGGCTAGTGAGGTTAAAATAAAGATCACCTGTATCTCTTCAGGAAGACTCCTTTGAAAACGGCATCCATCATGTTCTCAATTTCACATTTCCTGTCCTGTATCTGAGGAATGAAAGTAATTCATTCAGTTTGTTTATTCTGACTTTACCGTTTCCTGTACATCAACGCCACCATTCAAAAGTTTTGTGGTCAGTTATATTTCTTTTGCAAGGATTAATTAAATTGATCAAAAGTGACATTAAATATATTTATAAAGATTTCTATTTCAAATAAATTAGGTTCTTATGAACATTCTATTCATCAAAGAATCCTGAAAAAAAAAAATCATAATGGTTTCTGGTTTAAAATATCAAGCAGTACTGTTTCCAACACTGATAATAATAAGAAATGTTTCTTGAACACAAAAAAAGTCAGCATATTAGAATGTTTTTTGAAGGATCATGTGACAGTGGAGACTAGAGAAATGGCTGTTAAAAATTTTACTCAAATATTTCCTTTAGTAGACATTTCTATGCCTGTTTGAATTGTGGAAGTCACTTACATCAGTGCGTGTCAGAGTATCATATTTACCCATGTATTATATTATTTTAGTTATACTTACTCGCCAAAGACAATTTTTACTCACACTTGGCGAGTTAGTTTTAGACCCTGACTACACTCCAGAAAGATCTGTGTATAGAAATGCTTAACTCTTTAACCAGACATGCTGTCACCGTCTAACCTCACTGATCTTTCTCTGGATCCTGTCCAGCCTCGGAGAAGCCCGTTTGCTGGCCATCTTGGCTAGCTCGACCTCGTACAGCCGCTGACTGTTATCGACACTGACACTGAGGTTGAGAGCCACATTCACCAAAGCACTGAGCAGCTTCACTGCTGCAGAGACACACACAACAGCGGCAAAACATCAGCTTTCGGGATGTCTGTATGTGTGTGTGGTTCAGGTCAAGTGGAATTAATCATCGGGGCAACTTACCTGCTAGCGTACAGGTGTGCCTGAAAGCGCGAACTCTGGAATCGGAGAGCTCTGTCAGCAGTGAAATTAGTGTGTTCAAGAGGTAGCCGTCAAAGATTACACAGTTCTGACACTGGGCCACTAGCACCGATACAAATTCACAGAAGTGTGAACGAAACCTCTTCCAGTACAGGCCGGACATGATGAGGGGATACTCGCCACTGTCCTAAGGAGGATGGAAAGAGGATCAAGATTGAAAAATAGTTGGGATTTTAAATTGTGTTATTCACTACTGTTCAAAGGTTTGGGGTCAGTAAAAAATTTTTCAAACAAATTAATACTTTTATTTAGCAAGGACACATTAAATTGATCAAAAGTGACAGTAAAGATGTATGCATTGTTACAACAGATTTCTATTTCAAATGAATGCTGTTCTTTTGAACTTTATATTCATTCAAAGAATACAGAAAAAAATGAATCATGGTTTCAACAAAAAAAAAGCAGCATAATGATTTACAACAATGATAATTAATTAATAACAAATGTTTCTTCTTGAGCACCAAATCAGCATATTACAATGATTTCTGAAGTATCATGTGACACTGAAGACTGAAGTAATGGCTGCTGAAAATTCAGCTTTGCATCACAGGAATAAATTGTTTTAAAATACATTAAATTAGAAAACAGTTTCAACTTAAATTGTAATAATATTTCACCAAAAAAAAAAAAAGTCAAATGTGGCACCAAGGACAACATGATCATAATTTGCAAAATTACATGAAGTGCCCTGAACCGTACCATGTCAAGAGGCCACGTGACAGTTAAAATCCATGGAAATGCAAGGAACTTCTTATATTGTAAACCTGTGTCCTGTGATTTTAAAAAACGCACATTAGTAAGAGCAAGAAACATGGGAAAGTAATCAATGATGAGCACGCTGGATGTCTAACCTCATCCAAATCCTCCACCATTTTACTCATGACATCGGTACCCTTTTTACTCTGAAACATCTCTGCTGTAACCATCCCTACAAAAGCACAAACAGAATTCACATCCTGAACTACAATATACGACACAAGCCACAAAACAAAAACAAACCACTGAAAATGAACTACTTATATTAGTCATCACTGTTGTGAAAGAGAGTACAAACATTACGAAACTTGCCTTTGCATCCTGAACACTGGATAAAGAAGCTGATGAGATCGAGCAGTGCTGAGTCTCTGTCGCCAGTATAAGCGTCAATCCAGTCATCCACCACAGCCTTACACAAAACAAACCAAACATCCATATAACAAAGATCTGTTTACATCAGTATGACCTAAAAAGAACTTTGTGACCTTCCAAGTAGTTATCTGTAGCAGGGCTGATCATGCTGGACATACCTGCATTGCATTCCTGCCCATGCTGACCACCTCAAACAGTGTGACGGCTTCCACGTCTCCATTTTTGAGCTGTTCGTTCTCTGCTCTGCCCAGGCTGCCATTACTGCTCTTTGAATGCTTTCTTTTGGCATTCTCAGAGCATTCCCGGGCTTTCCTCTTTCCTCTCTGCACATGACAAAATATAGTTCTAAATTAGAAATGTTCTTACAGTAAATCTCACAAGAAGTCAGTTGTACTATAATAAAAGTATATGAGATGTAAAACCCTATTGTTAGAGGTTTTTTTTCCTTTTCTTTTTTTTAAAAAAGCATTGTGGTTTTAGCAGCTCCTACCACAGTCTTCTGTCTGTTTTCATTTCTCTCACTTGAAACGTGATGCACCGATGCACAGGAAGAGACGTCAACTACTGAGTTCTCTCTGAAAACAGGATGAACAGGCAGTTGTTTATCTGTGCACACAGAACACCTTGAATAATAAAATGTAATTAAATTGGGATATTAAGCCTGCATAAAATCTAAAACTGTATCGAGTCTGTTTTATGATGAAAATGCAGAGGCAGTTTACAGGTGTCTCACTTTTGCACCGATCTGGACAGTAAAGTTGGCTCCGCTATCATCTCCTCTCAGATCATAGCTGGACTAGAAACTGATGCTCATCTGAATTGCAACAAAAGAAAAACATTTTAGAAATGTTAATGATAATTCAATTGAGTATCACGAAAGTACATCAATGTTCCTATATCATTGACAATAATACTGTTAATATTTGTTAGACACCAAATATCAAATATAAATACAAATAAGTTGTTATATGCAATTTACAATAAAATGCAACACTATGCATCTAGAAAGAGATCACACTCCTTCGCATTTTATTTACCCAGTTCACTTCACATCGAACAAACAAGATCTAAAATACTGGTTTTGGTATCTTGTTACTTACTATGCAGGATATATTGTGTTCATACTATGCAGCCTAACCCAGTGGCTGTCAAACATTTTACTCCTATTTTCAATTTACTGTAAGACAATATTTCAAAGCAATACATCCTTAGGTACTGTTGTAATGTTGGCAAAGCTGTTTGTGTTCAAATATATTATATTCACAGAAACTAGATCAATACATTTAAGAGCTCCTGTTGCAGTGTTTTTCCGTGATTTTTACAATATGCAGAAAATCATAGTATAGTATGACTATAGTAAATGCAAACGCGCAAAATGTTTGTCAAAATATTTTAATCAAAAGCATTTCGCTTTTAACATTTCACGTCGTTTAACGTACAGTTTGGATGCAGACATGAAAATAAACTCGGGTAACACACACAAAAACATAAGGTGACAAGTGACCTAATCTTGGATGCCATTGGCTGAGATGCACGTCAACAAATCAAAACCAAAACCCTGATTGGCTAGTTCGAGTGTCAATCAGAATTCTTCCATTTCTCTGTTACTGTGCCATTCTGAAACAAAAGCCACATATGAGAACCTGCAGTTTCATTCATATGAATGGCTGAACCGGCTCGAAACGTTAACAAAACTGTCAGGTTAAGAACAAGGCTCGCATGATACTGAGTTTATTATTTAAACTAATAAGAAAGGACAATCTGGATATAGTGTATGCTGACCTCTCGGCTTTATTATAGACTTGTATAGAAGATATAGACTATATATATATATATATATATAGATAACTATGCAAAAACGCGAACGTAGCTTAATAAATCTTACCAGTGACAGCCGCCATCTTGATTAGAGGATTAATGTAAACTGCACGTATATATTTGGCTACTCCCAGTTCACCACAGCCGCGTGGCGCGCGCACGTCAACGAGAGCGCACTGTACGTCTGACGTAAGTCCATGAGAGGTATATTACATCATTTGAGCAAATCAGTTTACCAGCAATACTGCTACTACGAATAACAAGGTTCATTTATACAATATTTTACATGTATAGAAAATAGTTTAAAGTGATAACATTATACAATTATAATGTATATAATCATTGATTATAATAAATTCTAAAATGTATTAACAAAAATAAATCCACAAATTTAGAAGGTATTCGCTTCTGATTACCGTGTTTGAGTTTATTTTGGATATGTAATCACGTGTGATGCTGATGAAAAATGCTAGCACCATCATGTACAGAATGGAAAGAACATGTGCAACAGTCACTTCAAGTATACAGATGCATTATAAAATACATTATTGCACAAGTTTTTTTAGAAATGATCATCTTCATTTATTAAAACTCAAAAATCATGAGCCAACAATGCAAAAAAAATATCTAAAATGGTTCAAATAAATGATTTATAAGTGGTAGTACTCAGATTAATGTTTCTTTTTATTTTTCAAGGTCTTGAAATATATCTGGATCACATTATCACAGTCTTATCTGTGGTGTGTACAGATGAATAAATAATTTTAAAAAAAACTTTTTTCAAGGGAATCACTTCATTCCGTGACAATTTCTCACCATCCACTTCAGGCACTGTAGATCTAGCTGTTACGAGAGGTTAGAGACCAATTTCATGACTGGATTGAGGTCTTCGGTGAGCTCTTCTGAGAGTGACAGTACCATTGATATCACGTTTTGTGTTAATTCTGACACCCTGTGAAGAGTGCTTTCATTAATTATGCTGGATTACTTTTGGCTGATTCTAACAAATGGAACTAAAACCATTCTCACCAGCTCACGTGATGTGCTGGCAACTGAGGATCCAGCTTGGACCCTTCCTCTGTCGAAAGAGACATCTTCAGCTGCTTGAAATTAGCCTCAATATCCTTTCTTATGATGGATAATGGCAAAATATCTTTGAGAGAGTTTAGGACTTGCTGTACCAGAAACAAACAACTTTGAATGATACACAGAATCAAACTTTTTTTATGGACATATCACACAGATAAAATGATTTGAATGAGGATCAAGTCAAACAAACTCACATAAATTGCTGATAGCTGATGTGTGATGTACTTATGACTGCCCAGATGCTTCACATCTTCATCTAACTGCTGACTGAGAACCAGCAGCTGATTCAGCCTCCCAATATGAGGAAAATAAGCTGGAATGATAAAATATTTCCCAATTAAACTGATTAATCAGCTATGCTGTTTAGGAGCAAATAAGTGAGATTCCAGCACTTTTTTAATCATTTGTTTGTTTGTTTTGATATAATGTATATATTATACATGTAGAATAAATGTATTAAGGAGGCGAGCTCGCCAAATATTTTTAATGCATTTTTTTTATTTTACTTTTAACTAGCAAATTACTTTTCTGAAGCTTTCTATTTCCATTTCTGTTATGCATTTTATGTTTACTAATTTATTTTTTATAATCATAAAGTGAATTTTTAATTTTATATTAATTTTGATATTTTTAAATGTTTTCATGTGAAGTACTTGGTGCTTTTTGTAATGCTTTTTCTTGTAAAGCAGTTTGAGCTACATTTCTTGTTTGAAATGTGCTATACAAATAAAGTTTATTATTATTATTCATTATTACCCACATCGAGTCAACCATTGGCCAATAAATGTAACTGTATCCCATTATCATTCTCCCATTCATTCTGTGGTCTCACCATCTGAAGGTGGTCTTTCCAACATGTCAACAGGGCTGCCATGTATCATATAAACTTCCACTCGAGGGAATAGAGTAGATAATCCTACAACATCCAAATACTCCTAAAGAAACGGAAATAAATGGAAACACATCATCCAAAAATTCTAACTGGTTTAAGAGGAATGGTTAATTGGTGAGATTAGCTACCTCAAGCTGAAGCACCGGTTCATTGAGATGTTCAAGGCACTGGTTCATCCGATATATTATCTCTGCCCCTACACACAAATTCAGAGGTTGTACATACATTTGATAACAATTACCCATTTTGATTTCCAGTAAAAATTATTATTTTAGTCCTAAGCTTACCTTGTTTTTGAAAACACTCAGTCTCTTCAAGAATTGTGTCCTGTTTGAGCTGCTCCTGAAACTGCTAATTCAGATTAGCTACTTGAATGAGACAAACACACAAGTACTTTCAGTGTTCAAAGATCTGAGCCTCAGTGCAAGTGTCTCACCTGATGGACCTGAGCTCTGATCAGTAAGTCCAACTGGCTGCAGAGACTCAGCATCTCCAGTGCCACCTGCTCACTGCTCAGCTGGATGGGCATCAAGGGCTTCCTCACGCACACCTCAACTGCAAATAGTAAATAATCGAAAAATAAAACATGAACGTGTTCATATTCACTCAGATGATCATTTCATAAAAATGCAACTATTATTGAAGAGATCGGAATTACCTTTAAAATGTGGGCTGTAAGAGCAAGGTTTGCACAGCGGATCCGTCAGACTCACAGCTGCCATTATCACCGTGATAATCCCAGCGGTGACACGGATTCATATGATTAATACTGCATTTATAGGTTTATTCATCCATTAATGGCGTTTGTCACTCTCATTGCAAAGGGGCTTTTCAGTGGTCCTCCTCTCCAACGTGTTCACTCACACAGCGCCATGAGATGTAAATAAAAGGCGTGGTCAAATCTGCTAGACGAGAAACCACGAGACGTATCGATGTTCTGTGAATCTGCATTGAACTACCTGACATAGAAATTGAATAAATTGGGTAGAATGGACATTTTTATGACTCATATGCCTGAATGGGCGGAGCTTGTGGTCCAGGCGTTGAGTCGAAATAGCTTCTTTTTTATTTGAACTGTAACAGTGGTGTATTTTCAATTCATTTGCCTTTAACGTTTCATAGTTATATTATTTAGCTGGGTTTACAAATTTATGCAAACCAATAGTGAAGCAGCACATACATAGAATTTTCACGAGGTGCTGGTTACTTTTCTCTGCGCTGTTAAGGATGGGCCAATCACATTCGTTTAGAAGAGGATTTCTGAAGTGAAATGCTGTTATCAGGCGATAGTCTTACATTTAGAAATGAATCGATTTAATCGCGTATACTTTTTAACGTAACAGTACGGCAAAGTTTGCATGCGCCTCATAATTGACATTTTGGGGCTCCATGCGCCACTTGAAACATGATGCATCACTGATCTATATACAAGTTGTGATACATTCGATAAATAAGAATTAGTTACTTATTAGCTTGTAAAATTCTCCACTCACTGGATGGACCTTTGTGTGTTTGACCAACATTGTCTTAAGAGACAAAACAATTTTAAATATGATTACTTATTGTTCTAAAAAAAATTACAATAATTAATCTTTAAATGCCAGACATAGAGAAGGATAACTGTTCTCATTTTGTTCCCTAAATATATTTAATTTCACTTAGTCAAACAAACAAGGAGTTATTAATGAAAGGATGGAGCTATTTTCAATGTTTATTAAATAGTAATAAACAGACAGGAAAAATCTTAGACCTTTTCCATGATTTCAATGAATGACAATAAAACACTGCTTATTTAGAAGGTTTGTGTCACGCATATTTAAAGTGAAAGGTATACTAAGAAATCAAAGTAATGCAATCAAAAAAAAAAACATTTAAATAGTGTGCTGATAAAGAAAACATCAA